AGAGGGGGAGGAAGGGAGAGAGAGGGACAGAAACATCAGTGTGAGAGAGATACATCTATCCATTGCCTCTCCCAAGCACCCCGACTGGGCACATGGCCTGCAACCCAGTCATGTGCCTTGATTGGAAATCGAACCAGCAACCTTTCACTTTGCTGGATGATGCCCAACCAAGCCACACCAGTCAGGGCTATGGTGTGTTTTCAGTTAATTTTTGTGAAAGGTGTAAAGTCTGTGTCTCCATTTGTTTCTGTGATTGTATGTGTGTTTGTATGTGGATATTCATTATTTCCAGCACAATTTGTTTAAAATACTTCATTTTTCTGTGAATTGCCCTTCTTCCTTTGTCAAAGACCAGTTGAGTATATTTGTGTGGGTCTATAGGAAAGCAGTTGACTTGTGTATCCTTACTATACTCTAATTAACTCAAGGAGTTATTTTTGTTGTTGTGGGTTCTCTCTGGTGTTTCACATAGACGGTCATGTTATAAGGGACAAATGTGATGAATTTAGCTACAGGTCTTGAGCACATTCTTTCTCAAGAAGTGGAAGTTCCCCTCTATTGCTAGCTTGTTATCAAAAGCAAATGTTCGATTTTATGAAATACTTTTTTATTTTTCACTTCCTCCTCCTTTACTCTCTAATATTGGTAATTTCTGTCTTCCCTGTTTTCTTAGTTATCTTGCCTAGATGTTTATTAATGTTAGTCATCTTGTCAAAGAAGCAGCTTTTAAATTTTTTTCTTCCATTGATTTTCCACAATCATATTGATTTTTCTAATTTTTATTACTTATTTTATTCTGCTTACTTTGGGTTTAATTTGCTTTTTTTTATTATTTCCTAAAGTAGATGCTTACATTAATGATTATAGATCTTTCTTTTTTCTAGTATATTTCTTTAATGGCCTAAATTTCCCTGTAGGCTCCATTTTTCCTGGTTCTGACAAAGTTTGATTATGATATATTTTTATTTTTTGAGTTCAAAAAATTTTGTTTTTCCAGAGATTTTTTTTTTTTCCTTTCGTCCTGTACGTTATTTAGAAATGTGTTGTTGAATCTCCACATATTTGGGGCATTTCCAATTATCTTTGTTACAGATTTCTAGATTAACTCCTGTGTAGTGTGAGAGCATATTTTGTATGATTTCTATTCTTTCAGATTTGTTAAGGTGCGTTTTATGTCCCAAGGTCTGTTCCATCTTGGTGAATGGTCCATGTGAACTTGAGAGTGTGTATTCTGCTGTTGTTGCCTGAAGTATTCCTCAGATCACAATTAAGCTCAGTTGTTTCATAGTGCTGCCCAGTGCTCTGTCCTTCCTGATTTTCTGCTGCTGGAATTTTTTAATTCATGACAAGGGGTTGTGGAGGTGTTTAGTCGCAGCAGTGGATTCATCTGCTTCTCCCGCATCCTGTCAGCTCTTGCCTATGTAGTTTGATGCGTGTCGTTATGCACATGCACCTACAGGACGGCTGGGTCCTCTTAGAGGTGGCCCCCTTTGTCGTCATGTAATGTCCTTCTTGGTTTCCTTGGCTTGAAATCTTTATTGTCTGTAATTCATATATCTGTCCTTTGATTTCTGTTGGTATGGTCTACTTTTCTTCATCCCTTTACCTTTTATCTAGCCATGTCCTCACATTGAAAGTGTGTTTTTTATAGGCAACATGTAAGCGTGGTTTTTAAAAAATAATTTGATATTACTGTATTGTTCAATTGTATTGAGACCACTGATGATTAAAATGGTTATTGATGCAACTGGATTAATATTTACCAAACCTTTAATCGTTTTCTATTTGTTGCCCTTGTTCTTGGGGTTTTTTTGTCTTCAACCTTTTTTTCTGCCTTTTTTGGCTTTAATTGAGGATTTTACTAATCGTTTTTTCTCCTCTCTCAGCAAATCAGTCATATGTTTTTAAAAAACATTCTTATTGGTTGTCCTTGAGTTTTTTGTTTGTTTTTTTTTTGTGGGGTTTTTTGGGGGGTTTTTTTTTTGCTAGTATTTATTTTATGCTGAGTTTACTCCCGGGCCCTTTGTTTCTTCACTTTCTTCCGGGATATCTTTTACTTCTGTGCAACTTCCTATTCTAGTTTAGGAACAATCTATTCTTTTTCAGTGAGGATCTTCTCAATGTGGAAGGGAGAGCTCATGTATGGGTTGATCCGCCCATGAGCTCTGTAAGTTCTACGTTGCATCTTGGGAGCTTTGTTCACCTGGATGTGCTCAATGACCAGAGAATCTACATCTAAACCCTTACGTTCGGCATTACTCTCTGCATTTTTAAGCATGTGCCACAAAAATTCAGCACTCTTTTTGGGCCACCAACCCTGGGTCCAGCCCCACTGTTTGGCCTGGGCACACCTACCAACTCCACCATTATATCAACATAAGGGGACACATTGCTTCTTTAAAGTGACATCTTTCAGATACTTGGTGGCTTTTCGAATATGCATACCCTTGATGTCCTGGGCCGTTTCACGGGTGTTCTTGAAGTGAACACGAAGATTTGAACCTCTTGATTTGCATGATTTTGTGGGGTTTTCCGGGACAAGTGATTAGCGAACCATCTTCAGAGGTCACCTCTGGTCGCTTTTCTCCTTGAGTTTTGAGTATACATTTACGACTAACCCACATCCTCTGTACCATTTTGCTGTTGCTGCAAGCACCTCATACCTCACAATTCCCAGTTCCCCCATCACGGTCCCTTGTCACATTATTATCATTTATTTCCATTACTCATAAGTTTATAATACCAAATACAGTATTGCTAATATTTTAAGAAATACAAAAGAACAAGAGCAACAAATAGAAATACAAAAAGACAAATTTATGTCTTTTCTAATCCTCTTTTATCATTTATATTCTTTGTGATGAATTTTTGAATGTTTCTTTTGAAGTAGGTATACTAGTGACTGATTCCTTCAATTTTTGCCTCAGAAGTCCTTATTTCTTCTCTATTTTTGAAAGATTATTGTCCTCGATACAAAATTCTGCAGTGTTTTTTAAATTTCAAAACATTCAGTCTTTTACTCCACTCTGTTCTTGCTTGCATGGTTTCTGAAAAGCAGTTGACTTTCGTTCAAATCTTGTTTCTTTATACCTAAGATCTGTTTTCTCCTCTGGCTTCTTTCAGTATATTTCCTTTGCCTTTGATGTTTGTCTAACTTGAATAGGATATGCTTGGGCGTACATTTTTAGTGTTTTAGTTGAAAGAAGCCACTGTGCTGGAGGAGATCACCCTTCTCCCTGACTCCTTGGCTCCCTGGGCTGTTCTTTGGGATTCACTGAACGCATAGCTCTGGGGAGTGCGCAGACTTTCAGCAGGACCGTACACACTCGTACGTGAGCCTTCTGGATCTACAGTGTGTCACCTATCATTAATTTTAGGAATTTTCAGTCATTATTACTCCACTTACCTCTTGTTTCTTTCTGTCTTTCTTTGTTTCAGGTATTCTCATTGTGTGTATTTCAATCCTCATGTTAAGGAAGGTTGCTTTAGGCTTCATGGATATTGTGTTCTGTCTTTTTTGTTCTTTATTGTCTTTGCAGTAAACTCTGGCGAATTAGAATTTTTTGAGTACGGCCCTCATTAAGAACAGAATATTTGTTAATAATACTTACCTTGGGAAGTTGTCTCATGGCTGGGTCCTGGCATGTAACTAACATTATTATTGTTGCTTTGTTATTACCAATTATCAGTGTATCACTACAAATTATAAAATAAAAATTCCATACATTTGCATTTCTTTTCAAATTTTCAAAAAAAAAAAAAGAACAGAATATTTGGGACATATTTCAAAATCTCTCTTTTAATTTTGGACATACCACTTCCGCATGACCTAAAGGCTCTGGTGGATCTAAGAAGAGTAGTCTATTTCGAGCTTTCTTTCTTTTCTTTTCTTTTTTTTTTTTTTTAAATGAGATCAAGTATGATAACTCCTAAGCTCCTTAAGTGTCAGACCAGAAGGTGGCAGAGCAGCCTCTAGAGTGACTTGTTGAAAAATGTTTTTCTCCTGAAATTGGAGGATGGAAATTTTGTGGGGATTTTTTTTTTTTAGAGGAAAGCCCTCTTCCTTTATGTGTTGTATAATCATAGGCAAATTCATCATCAAATTATGTGGACTTAAATGAACTCCCATACAATCTATAGCTCTTAACCTCTTCCTCAAGGGCAGCCAGTCCTAGGGTACCCTGTTAGAGTCTGATTAGATAGAGCTCTCCTGGCCTACCCTCTCACTGTGTGTTCTAAAATTTGGCTGGAAGCAGCCCTCAACACATGAGTACAGGGATTTTGTGGTCTAACTTTTTACACCTTCCTTGTGTCTGAGCCCTAATTTTCAAATAACCTTCTAGCCCCCTTAAATTGGACAGAGAGGGAAAGGAAGAGCTGAGTCTCTGATAAATAGTACACAAGATACAAGCAGTGTTCTGCACAAGCATATTGATGCTGAGCCAGTTGCATCTGATTACTGGTAAAGGCCTGGACTTGAGGACAGTATGGTCAACTAGCTTTGTTGAAAGTGATTTTCACAGGCCCTCTGGACTCGCATGTTTGGTGATAGGAATAGAAGGAAAGGCTTCCAATTTTTCACTGTTTTATTTATTGAAACCTCATTCAGATTTAAGCTTCTACCTCATGGAATGCTGAAAATGGTGGGTAATAAAGAAGAAGATGAAAATTTTTCTCATGAGGATTTGATGGTCTGAAGATCATCCCATTTGTTTCATTTGAATAGCATTTATCATTTCCAGACATTCTCTGAACCCCGGGATGGGGGTAGGGGAGTGGATGTAATGTGATCATATTAACAATGTGTATTATTTCCATGTGTTCATAATGCTGTTAAATTTATGAGAAAGTAAGTGTGGACAGAGAATAAGTTTGTGATGATCAGAGAGTAAATGTTTGGAGACGAGAGAATTACATGACACCTTCCTATAAATGGGGTCTAGGTGTCTGGTGCTGTCCGTCCACATATTGTACTGTGCACATATTTGGACTGTTTTTAGGACTCGGTGGCCTTTGAAGATGTGGCTGTGAGCTTTAGTCCGGAGGAGTGGGCCTTACTGCATCCTGCACAGAAGCAGCTCTACAGAGATGTGATGCAGGAAACCTTCAGGAACCTGGCCTCCTTAGGTGAGCATGATGACATTCCTTCATTTGTCAATTAAAGAAACAAGTGTTCCTTTGACACACCCATGATGTGTAATGTGGAAAGGGAAGACGTTGGTTAATAACTTGGCATGGTCACAGCTTCTCATGGATCTAGAAACTAATTATTTTTCTATAATATGAATTCTTTGGACTCATTGTTCTGGGTCTGCATTTTAGGAATAAGATGGGAAGAACATGACATTGAAAATTGCTACAAAAACCAGGGGAGAAAACTAAGGTGAGTTGCACAATAGAAAGCAGTGTCTCATGTGGCAATCCTAGTATGCTACGAAATTTTTAAAAGAAGCAAACAAAATTAATAAACCCTGCTTTGAACATCTTCTTAGAAAATTTTTACCAAAAGTACTTTCTGAAATGTACCGTGCATGTTCAACGTTCACAAAATAGTTCACTTGGAAACTATTAATAAACACTATATTTGACTATCACGGTTTGATAATAACAAGGGAGAAGTCTTCTTAGAAACATTCAACACATTTAATTTCACACAATTCAGACAAGACAGAATACTTACAATTTTCTTATAAATCATAAGAAATATAATAAATATAAAACCATTAATAAAGAATCACTAATACTGTGCTCTTCATTGTTTACAGAAGTCAAGTGGTAGAAAAAGTCTGTGAAAGTAAAGAGGTCAGTCAGTGTGGAGAAAACTTCAGCCATATTTCAAATCTCAGTCTGAACAAGAAAACCACTGGAGTGAAACCACGTGAATGCCGTGTGTGTGGAAAAGTCTTCATTCATCATTCATCCCTTAATAGGCATATCCGATGTCATCCTGGACATGAATTTCAGAAATATGGAGAGAAGACTTTTAAGTGTAAAGAATGTGGTAATGCCTTCAGTTATGTCCAGTATTTTGAAAAACATGAAAGAAATCAGAATGGGGAGAAAACATATAAACATAAGAGATGTGGGAAAGCCTTTAGTTGTTCATGTTCACTTCGGTTACATAAAATAACTCTGACTGGAGAGAAACCCTATGAGTGTAAACAACGTGGTAAATCCTACACACCTTACAGTTTCTTACAGAGACACAACAGTATTCATACAGGAGAGAAACCCTATGCATGTAAAATATGTGCCAAAACCTTCCATGGTTTTAGTCATGTTCAAGCACATGAAAGAACTCACACTGCAGAGAAACCCTATGAGTGTAAACAATGTGGTAAAGCCCACAGAGACACCAGTTCCTTAAAAATACATGAAAGAATTCACACTGGAGAGAAACCCTATGAATGTAAACAATGCGGTAAAGCCTACAGAGATCCCAGCTCCTTAAAAACCCATGAAAGAATTCACACTGGAGAGAAACCCTATGAATGTAAAATATGTAGCAAAGCATTCACTTATCCCAGTTCTCTTCAAAAACATAAAAGAACACATACTGGGGAGAAACCATACACATGTAAAATTTGTGGTAAAGCCTTCAGTTCTTCCAGTCAAGTTCAAGTACATGGAAGAACTCACACTGGAGAGAAACCCTATGAATGTAAACAATGTGGTAAAGCCTTCAGTTATTCCAGTTATGTTCAAATACACGAAAGAACTCACACTGGAGAAAAACCCTATGAATGTAAAATATGTAGCAAAGCATTCACTTACCCCACTTCTCTTCAAAAACATAAAAGAACACATACTGGAGAGAAACCCTATGAATGTAAACAATGTAATAAATTTTTCAAATTTTACAGTTCCTTACACATACACAAAAAAACTCACACAGGAGAGAAACCCTGTGAATGTCAGCAATGCGGGAAAGCCTTCAGAGATCACAGTTATCTTCAAAAACATGAAAGAACTCACACTGGAGAGAAACCCTATGGGTGTAAACAGTGCGGGAAAGCCTTCAGAGATCACAGTTCTCTTCAAAAACATGGAAGAACACATACTAGAGAGAAACCCTATGACTGTAAGGAACATGGTGAAGCTTTCAGTTTTCATAAGGATTTCCAAATACATAAATGAACTCACGCTGCAGATACACTATGAATGTTGAACACATGGTAGAGTGTTCACATATCCCAGTGACTTCGAAATACATGAAGAACTCACACTGCAGAGAATCCCCATGATTTAGCCATGAAGGTAAAGTCTATGGAGGTCACCGTTCCTTAAAAGCGTAGAGGAATTCATGTGGAGAAAAACCCTAGAAATGTAAGGAGCCTGGAAAAGCCTGCGGTTATAACTACCTTTCAGAGAGGACTCAGGCTAGAGAAAAACCCTGTGACTATAAGTGATTTGGAAGAGCCTTCAGATACTAACAAATTTGCATACCCATGAAAGAAATCAACCTGGAGAGGAATCATATGCAGAAAAAAAATGTAGTGCCCTGGCTGGTGGCTCAGTGGGTTGAGTGCCAGCCTGCGAACCAAAGGGTTGCCAGTTTGACTCCCAGTCAGGGCACAGGCCTGGGTTGCGGGCCAGGTCCCTGGTAGGGGGCGTGTGAGCAGCAACCACACATTGATGTTTCTCTCCCTCTCCTTTCCTTCCCCTCTCTCTAAATATAAATAAAATCTTTTTTAAAAATGTAGTAAAGCATTCAGTTGTCTTAGTTTTCTTTGAAAACATGAAAGAAATCTCACTGGAGAGAAACCCTTAGAATGTAAAAAAAAGTGGTGAAGGCTATAGAGATCATTCGAAAGAACTCAATCAGAAAAATCCCATGAATATAATAGAGAAAAGCCTTCATTTATCACAGCTTTTAGAAGACATATAACAAGGCACACTGGAGAAAAACCATATAACAGTGTAGGATGTGGGAAAGGCTTCAGTTATTCCAGTTGCCATCAAAAGTATAAAAGGACTCACTGGATAAAATCCTTTGAACGTAAACATAATGGGAAACACGAATTGATCCACATTCTTACATATAAAAACTCCCAAGAAAACAAATAGAAATGTAAGTAACATGAGAAAGCTTGGTAGAAATTAATCTCTGTATAAGGTGCCAGAAAAATTTCAACTTGTTAGACTTGCAAATACATCGTGTTTTACTAAGCATTTTTTAAAGTACACCATTGGAGTGTGGATTTCTATTAAGTACTTTCAGAAATCAATATTCAATTGTGATAATTCTGAGAGCTTTCTTTCAACAATAGCACATAAGGTTAATGGGTAATGGTTTTTCTTTAAAACATTTAATATTTTCTCAGCATTTTGAAGTCAGATTCATGGGTGAATTGAAGTGTATTTTTTTAATTATATTTTATTGTTTATGCTATTGAAATGTATTTCTTATATACAGGTAGGTTAATTGTTTTTCAAATGGTTTATTTTGTGTTAGAGTGTCAGTATGTTTTCAATTATGTTTGATTGTATAATTAGAAGTACATGTATTTTTCTGTTAAATGAACGCCTGTTGATATTTCATAAAAAGTTTATTAACTGTTTTCTCAGCTGTTTATGCTATCATATATTGTGTTTTTCATTTCCTGAGAAAGTATATTAAATTAAATGCCCCATTATAATTCCGGATTTTCAAGTAAATTTTGCAAATGTCTTCATATAATAGCGACTAGGTGTTTTGCCACCAAAAAGGATTCATTCGGGAAAAAGAAAGGGTTGCAACCCAATGCGTACAGACAGGGCAAGCCACATGCACACTCTGGTCTGTGTGCCAAGGCGGAGGAACGTTTATGTACGGTAAAAGCAAGTTACGGGACGGGGATGTCAGAAACATGGCACTGTGGGTTCTTGCGACGACATACAGTGCGAGAACTTCCATAAACCCCAATTCCTGCCATAGACCCCACTGACTATGTTATCTTAAAGTTTCAGTTAGCCTTCCTTTATTATAATAATTATATTTTATGGGTCAATTTTATCTTGTGCGTTCAAGTTCAGGTAATTTTTCCTCAGGAATATTTGGTTTCTTCTTTAATAGTTAAAATTTTTGTCTTGATGGTACCAAGCAAGGGATCACTTCTTTACCCAACACACAAAGAAGCCAATACTAGGGCACTGGCTCTTGAGAATAGAAAAGGTTTTTTGTCCTGGCCAGGTGCCCCTCTAGATTGCAGCCTGGTCCAATGCACCAAAAGGTTGCAGATTTGATCCCTAGCCATGGCACCTATGGGAGGCAACCCATCAATGTTTCTCTCTCAGATGTATGTCTGTCTCCCATTCTCTTCCTCTCTCTAAAATGAAAAAACATTCTTGAGTGAGGATTTTAATTAATTCCAAGCCAACTGTCCCACGGGGGCAGGCCCCGCCCACCCACAGAGGTTGGTTGTGCACAGCCAACTGACCTCCTCCTTCCCGGTTGTCACTCAGGAGAACAGGGGGAGGGTTCTTGTGAACTAGCCAATCAGGAGGGCAGCAGCAGGGCACGCTCCTGAAACCGCGTGGACGCTCCTGGCGCCCGCGCTGGTGCTCTTGTCTCACCTGCGGTTAACGGTTGAGGTGTGCCTGCGGCGTTAACTGTCCGCCCTGACTTCCTCGGGCTGCGGGACTGAAGAAACGACGCTAGGGGGACCCCATAAGCCGGGAAGTGGTGAGTTTGGAAGCCGCGTTTCCCGGGACGCAGACAAGGGGCTGGTGAAACCGGCTGTGGCGAGACCTGACTTCCCCGCGGTCGAGTCCAGAGTCTGCGGACCCGAGTTCCCCCAGGGCTCCGCTGGGATCTGAGTCTCCCCCGGCACGAAGCGTAGGGGCTGGGCCGGCAGCCGGACTCCGGCGCCCTGTCACGTCTCCGCGCGCAGCGACTTGGACTCCGAGGACTTTCTTGGCAGCTCTGCGCCCCCAGACCCGCGTCTCCCGAAATGGTGCGGTGACTAGGAGAAGGTCACCGGGGGAAAGCGTGGCTCGGTCTGCAGGGATTGTGAGTGGGAGGAACTGTAGTCTGTAGGGTTCCCAGGCCATCCTTTCACCTCATGGGAACCCGGTTTCTCCTCAGTTTTGCAGATGTTCGGAGAACAGGGTCTCAAATCCGCGACCCTGTTCCCCCACCACCGACGCACCCACCCATCGTGTTTCTTCCTGGGAGGAGCAATACGCATTTCTGAATTTCCAGGTCCTTCCTCGAGTTCCTGAATGCCAGTTTGGCATATCCGATTTACAGCATCAACTATTTATCATTTATCTACAGAGCCTTGAAAGGCTCTTTTTAAAGATTTTATTTTTCTCTGAATATTTCACATGAGGGGAAAGTCGAGAATAACCACGTGGAATACATTGTATGAAATCCCTCTTCCTCTCCCGCCAGAACTTGCCCTGGGCACAGCCATCCTATAGGAAGTCCTCTGAGTGGGGAGGTTCGTCTTTAGAATCTTTCCTGAGTGTTTCGTCCTGTGAGCAGGGCCCCTCCCTGCTTTTGACACTTGAAAAAGACTTAACCGACTTCTGTATGTTTTTTCAATAGGGGTAAAGTATATTTAATCAGTAGAGCTTGAAAAACAACATAAAATAGTTCCAAACAGGCAAGAAAGATGAATTTCAAGAAAAAAGTAAGCATTTCAGTATTTCCATTTATAGTAAGTTTCTGAGATTTTTTTCTTTTTCACTTTGTGTCTTTTCAAATAAAATCCAGGTTTAGACTTGTAGAGCAGGAGTGTTCAAGTGTGAGGAATTCTTTACAAACCAATTACTTTTCCTCTAAATAGAAATAACTGACATCATTTTCTGAAAAAAAATACATATTAGGGATTTTCTAATTGAACTGGTAAAAGACCGTTTTTCTTCCTTTCTTTTCTTGTAGATGCTAGGGTTATGTGATTGTGGTGGAGTGTTCAAACACTGGATTTTTTTGTCATTTAAAATACGGAAGTGTTCCAAAGCAATTCCAGTAGTGTATAGAGAAGTGTGTATCTAAGGCCCCCTGAGCCTGCACAGCGAAGTACTTGAAGGCCCAGTTATTCTTCCTGGGAAGCACCCCCATCCGCGCCCCCCCCCCCCCCGCAGGTGTCCTACCTGCTCACTCACCCCCAGGGAAGGAGCCTCTTTACACTGAGAGAAGCCACAGCCCTGGGAAGCTGGGGTGCACCTGCACGTGGGGGAGAGGGGGTGATGCCCCTCCTGAGGTTTTAGTTGTGCCTTCCCTGGGCCTGTTTCTAGACAGGAGTTTTGCATCCACAGTGTGGGTGCGCTCAGAGTGTAATCCGTGCACGCGGAGAAAGCCTGTGAAAGTCAGGAGCCTGTGTCCTGGGTTAGGGCCTGTGAATTCGCAGTCCATTTGGGTCAGAACCTGACACTGCATCCAGCCGGGCGTTTCCTGGCTGTGAGATGAGGGAGCGTGTCCAATATTCCCCGGGGAGGGGAGGGTGTTGGAGCTCCCAGAGTTCACTCCTGAGGCTGCTCAGGGGTCCCTCCCCCTTTGTCCCCAGGGACTGTCCCACTGCAGGGGTCCTGTCTCAACCTGGAGGGTCTAGAATGTGGAACCTTCTGAAAGGGGCTTTCCTTCTGTCCTGTGGGAAGCGGGCTGCTCATCTGAGCTGATTCCAATACTTCTTTCTTTCCTTTGCATCTTTTATCCACTGAATAGTGGGGCCCTTTGTCTCTAGTTTCTCTGAGTACTTTGTAACTTTATTCCCCGTGTGTGAAATAACATTTCTAGTTTCTTGGGCTTAAAAATGTAAGTTGATTGAGAGACAATGATAGTATTGAGTCAAAGTAATTGTGGAACTAAATAGAATTTTTGTTCTTTTTGGGCAAGAAAAGCTCAACATGTGAGATGAATGCATTTAAACTCTCAGGTCAATCTTTGATTTTTACATCAGTGTTTGTATGTGCATGAACAATGTGCAAGAACATTGAAATTTAAAAGGCTAAAAACAATTGAATTTCTATTTTAAGTGATGTGAGGTAAACTTCACTTTTAAAAAATCAGCCCTGGCTGGTGCGGCTCAGTGGGCTGAGTGCTGGCCTATGAACCAAAGGGTCACCAGTTCAATTCCCAGTCAGAGCACATGCCTGGATTGCAGGCCAGGTCTCCAGTTAGGGACACACGAGAGGCAACCACATGTTGACGTTTCTCTCCCTCTCTTTATCCCTTCCCCTCTTTCTAAAAATCAATGTATAAAATCTAAAAAATTTCTTTAAAAAGCAAACTAAATTTATTTTTAAAAAATCAAAGTTTATTTGGAGGTCCCTCCAGCCACCCCCAATACACCGCTTTGATCGTTTCTTGACCTCCTATTAGTATTTCTCTTTGAAAATCTTACTACATTTAAGGAACCAAACCCAAATGCCTATTACATCATAATATAATACTTATTCCTGAAAATACCTCCAAGTGAGATATAAAGGAAGGATAAACTGGGATGCAACTTGTCCTTTTAGTTACCAAGAGA